TCGTTCTTTTATATATATATATATATATATATATATGAACGAGCATAAGAAATTAGTAACCATATGTTGAGATACAGAGAGATGAGAATAAAAAACAAAACAAAAAAAAACCAGAATGATTATTTTATTTTATCCCTGCATCTTAGCCATAAGTTCTAAGAATGCAGCTTCCATTCTTTTCAAGCCAATACCTCCCCAAGACTGTTAGCTTGCCTTGCCCAACTAAGCCAATGGGGGACTAAAGTACTTCGTATCCAGCAGACTTTAGACCAACACTAGCTCCCATGGCCAGGCTTAACTACTTGTCATTATCTGGCATTCTTCTTATCTGACATTCTTCCATTGTTCTATAGAATTCTTAAAAATCATTCCACAAACACTTCAAAGTAGAGTGGGTTTGTAACACTTGGTAGTTACTCTTTCCTCACTTTGGAATTCCATCTCCCTTGAGGTCTATCTGAATTTTTCATTTGGGCAAGCTTTTAGCAGGTGGGGCATTGCTTGGGGAATTTGCTAGGATAATTTGTTTTATTATTTACTTGGTCTAAAATATGCGCTCTGTTTATTATTGTAAGCTGCCCAGAGCCTCCAGGTCCCTCTTTTTACCCATCAATTAAAATACCATATTTATTCAATTTGCAGATGATCCTGATTATAAGATGACCCCCAATAATTAGATTCCACACAAGGAAAAAAATAATTTGGTATTATTTGTATAAAGAGACTCACTCACAAAAACGATAGTAATACCAGTAAGTCATAAATTCAACATTAGCTTCAATTCAATTCAAACATTAACTTAACTTTATATTAGGTTCTGTCCAGAACTTGGTGAGTACTAATCCTATCTTGGATCCTAAAATTTAGGAATGGTTACTTTTCACATGTATCCTTACTCTCATACTTGTCATTCTCTTCACTGTTCTTATCTTCTCCCTCATCTTCCCACAGAACATTGTCCTCAGTTCCATCTATGGCACTGGATATACAGCACTTCTTGAAGTCTTTAATAATGGATTCTGAAGATATTCTTCCCCTGGAAGTCAGAATCCATTGACAGTACGGTGTTATGGCTGGCCTCTTAATCTTTCCACCAAGTATAAGCGCATGGTTCCCTGCCAAGAACCAGTTGGAGTACTTACTAACACCGTAAATGGTCCTTAAAGGGCTTATTTACTGTGACATCCAGTACTCCGAGTTGAAATGTCATACTAGTAGGTATGAATACAAGATCACAATTCATTGACTGAATTTTTGCTTTCACATCTGGTGTTAAATACCCCCTGAATGAGTCTAACACTAACATTCCTCTTTTCTTTAGCAGTGCCCCAAGTCTCCATTTCCACACAACAACTATCCAGTCATTCATCAGTTCACTTGACATCCATCCTTGTTCCTGGCACCTAACCACTATTCCTGGTGACAACTTTTCTTTTGGCAGGATTTTGCATTTCAAAATCACATACAGTGGCAATTTTCTTCCATCTGCCAATATTGCTAACATCACTGTAATTCATGACTTTTCATTCCCTGTATTTCTCATAATTATGGATTTTATGCCTTTTTCATGGATGCTGACATTGCTCGAAATAGCTTGGAGTCTCATAGGCATTCCTGTTGGGCCCAGCAGGTAATCATGAGTTTTGCATAGCCCAATAATGTACTGCTGGAATTCAACAATTTTTTTACTGCTGTCTGATGGTATCTTTTGTGCAAGTGAAGTTCTTCATCTCAGGGCTAAACCACCATGTTGCATCATTTGGATACACCACTCACTACTTGCTTTGAATTTTTTAAGTGAATGTTCAATTTCTTTGCTATTTTTAATGCCTTGAGATGAAGCACTTCACGGGTGATTGGCATTCCCTTCTTTCTCTTTTCTTGAATATACTTGAAAACTTGCTTATCAATTTCCGGAAAGCAACCTTG